CGGTGGAGGACTCGGTGGAGGATTCAGTGGAGGATTCGGTGGAGGATACGGTGGAGGGTTCGGTGGAGGATTCCCTGCCGCACTTCCTGCACCACTCCCTGCACCACTACCCGTCAGTAATTATGGTGGTAAGTTTTCAATTGAGTTTCAAGCGCTTTTTAAATTAAGACACACTTTCTTTTTTATTGTAGGTCTTCAAGCCTATGGCGGAGCAACAGCACTTGGTGGTTTTGGTGGTGGTTTAGGTGGTGGTTTTGGTGGTGGTTTGGGTGGTGGTTTTGGTGGTGGTACGTCTTTTCTATTACATAAAATTAAAATTTAATGGTTGTGTTTGTTTCTAGGCTTTGGAGGTGGTTTATCATTGATGAGCCGTTCATATTCGTCGTAAGCACTTGAGTAGATTAAGTATATATTTTATATTCGTATGACAACGACCTCATGCACATAATTTATTTGAGTCGATACATCAAAATCGGTGAACCATAGCTGATGTCTTAATTTGTGAATATTTTAAGGGCAGTAGCTTGGGATCTTATGGCGGTGGCTTGGGATCTTATGGTGGTGGCTTGGGATCTTATGGTGGTGGCTTAGGATCTTATGGCGGTGGCTTAGGATCTCTTGGCGGTGGCTTAGGATCTTTTGGCGGTGGCTTGGGATCTTATGGCGGTGAGTATTACTGTCTAGTCGACGAATACAACTGTTAAATGATATTTCCTTGAATTTAGGTTTAGGTGGTGGATTCGGCGGCGGACTTGGATCTTTCTGTCCAATAGCTGCTCCTGCCGGTAAGTTCTTCAAGCTGCTCTCTTGTTTTTGTTTGTCACTGAGCTTTTAATGAGTAACTCATTCTTTTCTTATGTTTCTCGGGACTTCCAACAGCACCATTAGCATTGCCAGCACCAGCTCCAATTCATGTTCCTGTTCCTCAAATCATTCATGTTCCAGTTCCTCAACACGTTCCTGTACCTGTTCCTGTTCCTCAACCAGTTCCTGTTCCTCAACCAGTTCCTGTTCCTCAACCATATCCTGTACCTGTTCCTGTTCCTCAACCAGTTCCTGTACCACAGCCATATCCTGTGCCACAACCAGTTCCTCAACCAGTTTGTGTGCCACAACCATATCCTGTACCACACCCAGTTCCTCAACCAGTTTGTGTGCCACAACCATATCCTGTACCACAACCAGTTCCTGTGCCACAACCAGCTCCTCAACCAGTTTGTGTACCTCAACAATTTGGTCTACCACAATCATTTCCTCAGCTACCTCCTCAACAATTTGCTCTGCCACAAGCAAACTTTCAGCTAGGTCCTCAACAAATAGGTTTTCCAGGACCAGCTGGACCTGGACGTCAGCTTTGCTGTTGTGTTCCAATCGGTCAATAAACATTTTAGCTATATCAGACATTAGACATTTGTTTTTTTTTTCAAATTTTTTCTCTGTTGTACTGACACATCTTGCTTTCTTTCTTTTCTGTACTTCTACACTCATAAAAACATCTTAAATTGTCATTCAATAATAGTGCAAGTCGATCCATCAAGTCTTTATTCAAAGCAAAACACACGAGCAAATGACAGATTATACACACAATTTGACAAACAAGAAAACTTTTTCAACATCATCCATTAAAATTTTTGTCTTGGCAATGAATTACAATGCTTGTTTTGGTATTGTTTGAAGCATTTTTGTGCTTCCCACTTTATTTCAGATTCAAAACAAAATTAGTCGTAGCATTTTTTTTTCTTCTTTGCGTGTGTTTTTTTTTGCATTAGAACAGTTATAGGTTTTTTTCGCGAAAAAAAATAAATAAAAATATATTTATATCCAATCATCGTTTCTTTTCTTTTCATTTTCTCTTTGCCATAGATACATATGTGCAGACACATTCAATTGATCTTATCATTAAAATCTAGTACAACTCAATATTGCATTTTTATCACCACAAGAATCACTTAACTACCAATGGTGATCACAGTATCTTTCTTTTGATGGATATGTTTTGATTCGAATGAAGAAAAATTGATTAATTGTGTGGTTTTGACAGGTTTCGTTCCTATTTGTATGCTTCATATATAATCATACACCAAAGATAAAAAGGTATTGGTTGGAACAAAGGACATATTTGCAATCATAAACTTTCGAGACGCATCACTAATTTTTGTGATTATTATGAAGGATATATTGATAGTAATAATGATTATAATGATGTTGGTATTTTTTTTATTATGAATAAGTTATTTAATTTGACAAGATAAATTCGATAAAAATTAGATCGAACGTTCAGATATAAAGCAAAATAGACATGTATACATATTTGATGAAATTGCCAACACAATTTGATAATAGAAAAAACAAAAATACATCAATGAAGGTTACTGGATGATTTGCTCATTTTAAAAAAGAACATCTACGCTTTTACTTAAACATGTTTTTTAACACTATAAAAAAAAATGTACATCAGTAATACAGTGTAATAGAAAGATATTTAATGTAACGAGGACGGAGGAAAAATAACAAACTGATATTACTCGAATTCTTTTATATGACATAAGTGGTATATTAATACTCTTTATGTTCAAATGAAATGCATAAATATTAAAACTATCAATAATATTCTCAGCATTCCATTAAATAGAAAATATAATTCGATTAAATATTGATTTAATTAGTTGATTTTTTTGTTTATCAATTTTATTTTTGATACATAATGATGTATATTCGAAAAAATTTTCAACATCTAATATCTTGATCATCAACTAAATTAAAATACTCTTTTCGTCTTCTCTATTTCGTGTAACAATAAAATATGTGGAAAAAATATATAAATTTGATTAATTATGTTTCAGTGATTTGACATTGTTGATAGAGCAAGGAAATTTTTTTCTATACATCTATCAAAGAATCATATACTGAAGTATAGAGCATAAAAACAAAAAGTTAAAAAATATTTATACATTAATAATAAACATTTAATAAATCGATTTTTTTCTTGATCATAAACAGAATTCTTATATATCATTTTTCATTATTTTTATTAGAAGAAATAAAATAAAATGTATATTTTATTTTTGCCTATACGTTTGATTAGTAAACAAGCATACAACCACAGGCAAGGTCTGTCATTGGAAGTTGTCATCTTAATATGTATCGGAAGATCATTGTTGAGTGAGAAAAGATCGACCAAAAAGCAATTAGATCAGGTGAAAAGTAAAAAAAGCAAGAAAAAAACAGAAAAACTTGTCCATAGGCAAATACACCATAGTTGAGGTATACATAATTGCATTGTTTCGAATAACATTTCCCTGTCTCTAAATTGATGATTTGTCTGCGATCGATTGATCAGAGACATCAAGTGTTGTATGTATATATGTGTGATACTGTATCTTCTTCACTCACTTAATATAGTAATTTGCCTACGTCTAATATCACAACTACTCTCCATCTAACTAAGAGACGGTAAGAAAACTAGTAAACATTTGTTTTAAAATGAGCTAAATTTTCTCACTTATATGCTATTATTTATTGTATAGTTCGATTTCTTTCGTCTTCATATACTAACATCCATACATACTCAACACTATACGAATTCATACATATATATATATATTTCTATATAATGGGTAACCGTAGCGTTCGTACACAAGGAGATAATCTTGCTACTTATGGTGCTAGCTACGATCCTTATTACGGTTATGAAGGAATTGAAAATTACGGTTCAATTTATCAACCTACTGCAGGAGAATATCCATTCGGTTATGGTATTACTGATGAACTATTGATGACAACATTGGGATCTCCTCTAGGTGGTCCGTGTGTTCTCGGTCCACAAGGACTTGGTGCATACGGCTATATGTATTCAGCGAGTTTTAATCCAATGCTTGAACCCGGTTTGAGCAGATCTAAAGTTCGTTTAATTTACATACCTAATTATGCAGTAGCTGAATTTCAAAATTTATTTCAACAAGGCAGCGCCAGCTTTGCAAATCCTTTCGTAGGTGGTTATGGAGGATTCGGAATTCCACAGATGATGCCACAAATACCTATGCTTCAAGGATCGATGTTTCAAATGGGTTCAAATTGTTGGTCCATGTCGTTTCAATTACCATCGATGGGTCCACAATTTTCTTTTGGTATTCCTTGTCCACCTCCAATGATTCAGCCAGTTATGTCTCAAATGCCTATGTGTAAGAGAATTATCTATATCCTTTTTCTTATTAAACCAATACAAGTTCTTATTTAATATATTAAAATTCAGTAAATTTAATTCTTAATCAAATGACACTAATATCTCATTGAAATAAATTCTACTTAGCTTACCAGTCGATGATGCCATCAATGCTGAGTAGGGAACGGACGGAACATCTTTTTTTTTTATCCTGGTTCCGATTTCATTCCCAATTAAAACTGTTTTCCGGTCTTGGTTCCGGTCCCAATCCCGTAAAAATGAAAATTTGGTTCCGACGGAAGCGGGACCGAGATCACTTAGCAGATCCCTAGTGGCAAGCCAACAACCAATGTGTAAAAAATGAAAATTGCTCATCTTTGATTGGTATTCAGTATTCTTTTTCGAACAATACTAATCCTAATTCAATAGGAATTTTCTTGGTTGATATATGTTTTCTTTTTTCACTATTTTAGCCTATCCAATGGTCATGCCTCAAATGCTATCCATTGCAACACCTTCAATGCGTAAGATTTATGCTTCTATCTATGATTGCTTTGTTCTTTTTGATTTATAACATTGTATATCATGGTATATTCAAAGATATTAACTAAATAGAAATTTTTGTTTTTAAATATCTAACAGGTGCTTCAATATATTTAAATTTTACCCTAGCTTATTCACCTATCATGCCCCAAATACCGATTGCACCTTCTCCAATGTGTAGAAATGCAATAAAATATTTAATACTAATTAATATCATATTTAATCTTCTGTAGCATATTTTCCAATAATGCCTTCAATGCCAATTGCTCCACCTGCCATGCGTAATAAATTCTCTCTGCTTATTATTTGCATCATTTTGTTTACATTTTAAACTGATGATGATATTAATTAAAGTATCTAGTAATTGATAAAAATTGCTTTGATGCTTTCACAGCTTGTGAATCCATAATGCCTCAAATATGATTTTCATTTTCAGTGCTAATTATGCATTAACAAATGCCAATGCGTAAGATTTTTTTTCTTCTTTTTTTTGCATATCAAACTGAAATAGCATCAATAATTAAATGGAAAAATATAATTAATACTAGATATAATCAAGTTGATAACATTTTGTTACTCTTTTTAGCTTATTCTTCACAAGCAGTTCCGATGGTACCACAACAAATAGCTTATCCACCTCAATTTCCAATTATACCACAACAACAAATTTGCCCACAGAGTATTCCTGGTAACTTTGGTGGAGTTCCATCATATGGAGGTATAGATTCATCTGTTAATAATTTTTGGAACAGACAACTTGATTATCCATAATTCTTAATTAATCTAGGTTTTGGTCAAGGATTGCCACTAGGCGGAAGCTTTAACAACTATGCCGCATTTTCAAGTAATTAAAACTATATTGTTTTTTTTCTTCACATTTATATCTCTCATTTCGTATTATAAAGGCATCGGTGGTAATATATTGTCAAATTTCAGTGGAATCGATCAGCCAGGATTCGGTCAGTCTGCTTTTGCAGCATACGGTGGTTTTGGTCAATTACCTTATGGTGGCTTTAGCCAGCCAGGATTCGGTCAGTCTGCTCTTGCAGCATACGGTGGTTTTGGTCAGTTACCTTATGGTGGCTTTAGCCAGCCAGGATTCGGTCAGTCTGCTCTTGCAGCATACGGTGGTTCTGGTCAATTACCTTATGGTGGCTTTAGTCAGCCAGGATTCGGTCAGTCTGCTTTTGCAGTATACGGTGATTTTGGTCAGTTACCTTATGGTGGCTTTAGTCAGCCAGGATTCGGCCAGTCTGCTTTTGCAGCATACGGTGGCTTTAGTCAGCCAAGATTCGGTCAGTCTGCTTTTGCAGCATACGGTGATTTTGGTCAGTTACCTTATGGTGGCTTTAGTCAGCCAGGATTCGGTCAGTCTGCTTTTGCAGCATACGGTGGTTTTGGTCAATTACCTTATGGTGGCTTTAGTCAGCCAGGATTCGGTGGATTCAATCAACTGTCTTATAGTGGCTACGGGCAACCTGGCTTTGCCAGATATGGTCAATATGAATCCCTATCATATTATCAACCAGGATTTGCTAGTTACAGTCAACAACCCTTTGGTAATATCAATCAATTAGGATTTGGTGGATTCTCTCAAGCTCAACCACAGTTCGGTGGTATTTATCCACAGCAATTATCATACAATGCCTTTCCACAACAGTCATTCAGTTATTTTCCAGGAGCTAATATCAATTTATCAAGTGGCTTACCTCTATGCAATAGCCTCTTTCAGCCGGGTATATTCCCAACAGCTAGCAACTTCTCTCCAATAAGTCATGCACAATTAGGATCATTTTCAGGCGGTTCTGGACGAATATCAATTGTATGTTGTATTGTTCTTCACTAGGCAAAATCCGCCATTATCATGAGGATATAATAAAAGAAACTTTTGATTCATTTTTATCTTTATGTCCTTGTTATTACACTTAGCTTTATTTATAGCATTCTTTCTCCTAAGAACATATCAAACGTCATGATGGAGACAGTGTTTTTATTCATATATATATATATATATAAATGCTATTAGGCAAAGAACTTTTCTATTTTTAAGCAATGTATTTTTCTTTCAGCTGATTATCTTTTTTCTTTTGTTTTTTGCTGCATTGTTGTATACAATAAATGATTTTCTCTTCTCTCTTCTAAACTTTGTTGGTTTTTTTGTCATTATTAAATAGACTTTTTTGTATATGCACAAAAAAGAATTAAGCGATTTTTTTTCTATCTTTGCACATACATTTCTATTTTTCTTAATAATCTTGATCTGTAATTTTTTTGTGAGGTTTTTTTTTCTCCTAAATAATAACATTCATTTGTTTAATCATGATTATTTTTTTTTTCTCCACATGGAATAATATATGGTGGTTAAACCAATTGATACTTTGATTACATTTTGTAACAACCCAAATAAATTAATCATAACTTCTCCAAAAACGACAAAGGTAAATATAAAATATCATTTTTCTTTTTCAAATAATTTCATGAAATTATGAACATATAAAAATGGAATACACAGCAGAAACTAACCTTTAAATTATTTTTAACGTATGATGCAGATTAAATAGGACAAATATCATTTCTTTTTATTTTGGCTTTCTCCGATATACTTTTAGAAAGTCATTTGATAGAAAAATTTTTCATTCTAGAAAACTGTTGAGTTTGTTCTTTTCAAATAAATTTTTCTTGTTGAAACAAAATTTAAAGTATAAATATTTGCTCAATTGTCTAAATATGACTTTTGATTTTCTGCAGCTATCTATCAATTTATATAAGTCTTTGCTTCAAGAAGTAACGTAATTAGTATCGATGGATAGAGAATTTTGTAATGTCCATATCCATGACTTTTTCAATATGCTTGGTACTATCGTTCGTACGAAAAAAGCTTGAAACTAAAACCTACTAATATATTTCTATACATGTTGCAAAAAAAAATACATGTTTTCCAAAGCGAGATTTGGTACATAAAATAGTAATTCTCGTGCTGTGGTATGTAGGATTCAATTCTAAACAAAGTATTGCGACTTCTAACTTGAAGAATAGAAATGATTAGGTTGTATGAAATTACAAAAGAATAATTATATAATTCTATTAGACAAATTGTTTTTTTTTTCATTTTTTACTTCATGATTATTCTCCAAATGTTTCTTCTAAAATTCTGAAATATATATACTATATCAAAAGACGCAGAATTTTATAGTACATTTGACATTTCAGCAAAATATTGTTGAAAAAAAAAACTTGCATCATATTTTTGCATTTTTTCGCGTGTCCTAGAGTAAAAAATTTCCTATCGAATGACTTTCTGAAAATAAATCTGAAAGATCCAAAAAGAAAAAAAAAAGGATATCATGTTTGTCATATTTAATTTGTGTCATTCGTTATTAACCAAGGTTATTCTCAGAAAAACTATGACACATAGAAAATGAATTGATGTTGATTATCTTCGAGTAACTATTGTTCAAATCTATCAAATATATAATATAAATTAAATTAATCAAATATATTAGTAATTAAACAAAAAAAAACAAATAAATTCGACTGAATGCATTCATTTTTGATTTGTAATTTTCTTGAAAAGAAATTTTGTCTTTGTGTATGTAGGTCAAAAATATCAACTGTCAAATTATGTTAAATAATATTGCGCATGGTTTTTTTATCCGGATCTACGGATGGTTTTTATCTATAAACTAGCACCATATCTAATAGTAATCAATATTAATCAAATGCAGATGTTACAAAAGGCATGATTTCCAATTATAGTTTTCTTGTCATCGTTGACAAATATCAAGTTCTTTTTTTTTCATAAATAACTTATTGAAAAAAAAACCCTACTATCCATTACATAGCTATATTAGTAATTGATAACGTATACTGAATAATATTCCTTTCGTAGTTCTTTCTAGATAAATTATATTCTTTAACAAGAAAATATACTTATTAGTATGAATTAATTTTCTTTTTTTTTATTCTAAGTTTTACAAAAAGAAGTGCTAAATATATCTTTCATGTTTATTTTTCTGTCTTCTATAGAGACGCTTTTTTTTCTCTAGAGATATAATACTTCATTATATCGTTGACTTATTTCAATAAAAAGATTAATGGATAGAGAACAAAAGAACTATTCAAAGATCATATGAATCACGCTGTCAAATTTTGTAAATATTCTGAATATGATGTTATATGATAATCAATTTATTTCAACAAACATTCAAACGTAGATGATTTCTAATATTTCAACAATATCTTAATGATCGTAATTATAACATTTATACGAATTAAATTTTTCTATTATATATAATGAATAAAATATACAAAAGAAATAAAGAATGAGTCTGTTCCATAGTCTCTTCTCCTATAGTATCTATTTCTCTCTCTCTCTCTCTCTCTCTCTTTCTCTTCACTTTTTCGGCATAAATAAATCCAGAACTTCATATAAAAAAAAAAAAGAAAGAGAAAATATAGAAGAATATATTTTTTTTCTTTCAAGCTCTTTTCAACATTCATTCTCATCTTCATTTTATTATCCATCACGACAAAGCTCTCGTAAGTTTTTTACTTGATCATATTTTAAGATAGTATTTTTCATTTCAAAGAAGAAAAAAAAAAATCAAGAATCTTTTTTTATCTCGTGACTAATTATGATGCTAGTTTTTTGAACCGCGAAAAAAACAACTGAATAATTATTATATTTCTAATGTTTTTTATTCTTGCTTCGTTTCAATTAACATACATAATGATTGGATCAACAAAAAAAAAAAGAAGAAAAAAAAAGCTTTCATTTCTTTCGCATATTTGTTCACTGCAATCTGCTTGTTTAATAATAACTGATTCATCCACAAAAAAAAAGGAAACATCCTGTGACAGAATCCGATAGACAACATTAGCTAATGTCTTATTCTAAAGATTGATGATAGTTAGGATATGTTCTTTTTTTTTTTTTTTTTCATAAACAACAATAAGTAACATATTTTCATTGAAAGAACAATTATATCTTGATTTATTCATATATATGAGTCGTATGTACCAGACAAAAAAATATTGCTTATAGGTATAATATTTAAAATGAAAATTATTATTACATCTTTTTTTTTTTCAAAAAAAACTATTAATTATGCAATAGGATGGATCAAAATGTATGTGCATTATTAAAAGCATTGGCGTCATTAATATGAAATGGATACAGAAGCCATTATTTATAATGTTATATGAATCTATAAAAAAGGAAAAAAAATCTATGAGAAAGTTTCTTAAGATATGCTATTGTGTTAAGTGTTATTTAAAATAGATTCTCAGCTTTTTTTTTCTTCGTCTTTTGTGAAGTCGTATTAATAATGTTCATGATATTTCGGTTTTCTTCATTTTATATCATTGTTTTATTCATACATGTTGAAGGGTGCATACGGAGCAAATAAACTTCATAGCTATGACTATTTATAGACTTAAATAGAAGAAGATAACTATTGTTGTAGTTTCTTCTATTTTTAGAATAAAATCCATCAATAGAACAATGGTCCGCCTTTTCCACTTCATATTTGTTATGCTTATTGGTTTAAGCATCGTTATAGCCAAAAATGATATTAAATTTCGTAATATCCAACAAAAAAGATTTTCTCGAAGCAATGAACATACACATACTTTACGTAATCTTTTGGGAAAATTAGTTGATAGTGAAACAGATACTGTTTATACTATAGATGGACAAAAACAACAAGGTACACAATGGAATGGTGGTGAAACGACTGTAGAATCATTATCACCCAGTCCACCTCCTAGTCCTGAAGAAATCGCTTGTCTTGCAGCATGTCAATATTGTGTTGAAGATTATCCGATTGAAAGCGTAAGTTTATAATCTAAATCATATTTTGTTATCAAAATTATCTTTCTTTAGAGCAAGCAGAAAACAGCTAATAATTGTGGTCCTATGTGTGATTGTGCTGATAGCTGTTTTCACATGTCAGTTCAGCAGGTAGGAAGAATAAAAAAACCTAATTTCATTTTTTCATAGATATTTAATTTATCTATAACTATTTATCAGGTTGGTAAATTATATGGACAAAATGCAAAGACTGATTATGGTAAAGAATGTTGGTGGAGAACCTATACTGAGATGCTCGGCAATGTGTTATTTTCAGCATAAACGACCATTGCTCACAAGTATTTCTTTTTTTTTGTCTACCTACGTCTCGTATTTAATTCTAAACATTTTTCACTATAATTTAAATATATATTTATGTCGCACGGAAATGCAATTGTCATTTTCTCCAATATCTCAATAAAAATCACACATATAACATATCTATATAACAAAAGAAAAGGAAATTGTTGTATATTAAAATCTTATATATATATATATAAGTAAGTAGTGATCTCTCGTTTTTTTTGTTTGTGTTTATTTCATCATCATAAAATTGATTCACAATTGTACAGATGAATAATTAATAGAAAATTGAAATTTTGATGTTATTCATACAAATTAAAAATATTTTCTATAAATTTTCTAATCGTTTTCAAAATCATGATTCATTTTCTAATGAAATATGAATTTCAATTAATAAATTTATCTTAGATATGTCGGAAGAAAAAATTTTTTTGCACTAAATACATCAAAAGTATTTCATTGTTAATTAATTGAAACTAGAGTTTTTTTCTCATAATAAAAAACAAGCAAGAGTGAACGTGTTTCATCATGTTTTCTTTTTTTTTTTTGATGTCAAACGGTATCTAAAAATATCAAGTAACAAGCAAATATCATGCATGATCTCGTGTGTGTTAAGAATGTGAGTTTCGACTTTTTATTCAGTGAAAATAATTGAATCAAATGAATTTATTATGCAAAAAAAAGTATGTATGCTAACTATATTTAACAATAGTTGTAATAGAAAAACCAATAGAGTCAATTGAAAACATTTTTTCAACATAGGACGATATTTATATCTAGTGAATGCAAATTTTAGTGAAAGTTAATAGAAGATAATGTCTATATATATATATCGTTTTTGATAAAGAAAATTAATTTTTAACGAGTCAATATTTCAAAAAATATTTCTAATTCATCTGAAATTATTCATGGATTATTCATGAATAGAAACATATTTTTCAATCAAATGTCTTTATCTAATGTTTGTTGATTCAAAGATTATATTATCTGTCTGTTACATTGAATCGATTAAAATAAGCCAAAAAAAGTACTGCAAAATATATAATATAGAAATATTTCGACATCTGTACTTTGTCAGAACACATGTTCTCAGGGACTTTCATATAATTGATGGATGCATACATGTTTGCTAATTATCAGCAGAAGCTACATTTACAAGAATATACTGTTCTAAATGTACAAACACTATGATACATTCCAATAAAAATGAATAATTTTCGTTCATTTTTACAAATTTCTACAAACAATTTCTTTTCAACCTTCCCTTTAAAAAAGCAAAAAAAGTCATTTTCTATCACAAAAATCGAAATTAAGATAAATGCATAGAAAGATCGTCTTTGTTCTAATCTTTCATAAACGATATGATTTATTATTTTGCATCCCATTTTTTACCAAAATTCTTAATGATTTTCATTACATTCTGCTTGGAAAAAAAGGTTTTTTTTTTACAATAAGTAGTAAGTCTTTTTTTCCTTTTTCTCCATTTAAACTTTTCTGATCGTACATCTCAGAATCTTCAAAGAAGTTTCATTGTAGAAAATTGCTTCTTTTCTTTGTGTTTGAAAGGGCATGGGAAGGTGCAGTTGCCTGATAGAGTCCGTTTTATTGAATTAAGCTTTTTTATTATTATATATAAAAAGCACTTTTATGACTATATGACCATTTTTTTTTGAGATTTTTTTTGCTCCATATAAAAAGTATGAATTTAAAATAAAAGGGCACTTCAATCTGAGATGCTCTTTCAAAAAAAATCTATAGAATAGAGTTCCATAGAGAATTTTAGGTTGTCAAATAAACTATTTTTAACCTTTGTTTGTTTGCTTTTCCTAAACATGCACTTGAATGGTCACATGAGTTATATTCATTTTTAAAGCAGTTTATACAGTAAAATTATAAAAATCATACAAATGAGCACACTTAAAATGATCAACCGGAATAAAATAATAAAAGCTTTTCTACTCAAAATGAAAGAATGTTTCTTGTCATTGAGTACATCTGAATTTCTTTTTTAGACTGCTTGTTATAAGCTTTGTTATTTAATCTGTGAATATTTATTATGAGTTAAATCATTTTGAAAATAAAACTGTAAAGCACGTACCACTTAGATATCAATATAATATTCTGTTTGTGATCATCCCCTAGTAAAACATCTTGTGGTATGCACATGAAATACATGGGTCTCTAGAGCAAGAAAATCATGTGCTATGGACATACATCTTGAGATCTTATTGCGAACTCTAGCGCTGAAATTTCTTTTTTTATTGCTTAACATTCTTACTCATACGCTTGAATTCTTGCTCAAGCACGACGTAATATATTTGGATACTGAAGATCTTTTCTTTTTCTAAAGTTTTAGCCATTAAATATTTGACGTACAAAATGTATAATAAACAAGAATGAAAAGATAGATAATGGAATAGATTTTTTATTTAGATAAATGTCACAAAGCATTCGTCAAGACAGGATGTGGGTGTGGATGTATTATTGATGAGACACTTTCATTCCCACTCACAGCAACATCAATAAGAACACCTGTACATTCACAGCCACACCCACATCTTTTCCTTTTTTTTTCTTCTTCAACTTTACGTTCAAAAATGATTCTATTGGTAATAAGAAAATTCACAGTTTGAATAACAAACATTTTAATATGCAGGTCAAAAAGGAAATCTACACGAATAATTAGTCTCAAACAGCGTGCATGGCAAAGAGCATATTTCCGTCTTGAATAAATTTGCTTTTATTAATTTTTCTAATTGATCGTTCCAAAGATACTGATTGCTATAATTTTCATATATTCAACGGCTGAGTTGTTTAAAATGTGCATATAACTCATGCAAGCACTCAAGTGCTTGTCTATGGAAAGAAAATCATGTACTATGAACAAATCTTGTGGTCTACACATGTCAAGACTGTAAAAAAAAAAAGTTCGACTAGGGTTTCTACTATAGCTTCGAATATATCCTGAAAGTTTCATGCGATTTGAATGCATCTGATCCAAGATCGATTTTTTGAGGAGGAATCTTCCCGTTGACTTGAACATTTTAAAACAAATTTGTTTATTCGTATCCAATTATATTTGTTTAAATATCGTTGAGGAATCTTATGATAATCTTTGGTTTATAAAGTTCACATTTCATTTTTGTTAATCTTTGTCAATTATAAAAATGAATATCAATTGAAAAATAGTTTATGACATTTTTTATTCTACTTTCAGATATATTGAAATAGTAAAAAGAAATTATTTATGAAATATTTTCTTTAAATAACAATTTAACAACCTCTTGCTTAATTTTATTGAATAAAATATATTGAAAATTAAATTATATTAAATTTTTAAAAAAATATTATTTGTTGTGTTTTTTTTTCTTTTATTTATTAATTGTTTGTTGATATTGTCGATATAAAAATTCTGGATAACCCATTGAATTAATTGAAATAGTTCTATATTGTTGAGACAATTTTTCAATAATTTTTTCATCTATCAATTTTGAATCTGGTCGTTCAATACAAACTGTTTCAAAAAATAAATCACTACCTATTTGAGATTGATCATTAGATCGAATAAATTTTAAATGTAAACCAGTTAACTCTTGTTTATGATTATCTCCTATTCTTGTTTGTTCACGAAATTTAGTTGCATAACATAAAATAATCGGTTGAGATGATGTTAATCGTTCAATAAGTTGATTTTCATTGGATAATTTTAAAATATTTAGAATTGAAATCATATCATCAATATGAAGTTTTTTATTTGAATGAATTGTTTTTAACCAATTTTCTTGTCCATTAGAAAAACGTGTTTTACGTATTTTAAGTTCAAGTGTTTTTTTATTTCGTAATTTAAGACCATATTCAAGATGAAAATCATCAGAATTATTTATTATTGCAGGTATAATAAAATAAATATCTGTTCGATGCTCACCATCAAATCTTGTTTTCCATTTCGTATTCATTATATCTTCATTAATTGAATAAAAGAATCGATATTCCATTTGAAGAAAAAGAAAAAATGAATGAAATGTTTATTTATTTTGATGAAAACAATCTATAAATGTAGAGTATTTTAAAGAAAAAAAAAAAACAACCCTATTAATTTCCTTTTTTGTTTTATAATACAACAAGTGATTATCACAAGCACCACATACACATACTACTTAATTACTGTACAAAGAAATTCATACAATTACCGATGTATATTATGGATGAAATAAATCAAATAAAATACACATAAAAAGAAATGTACTGTTTTTTTTTGTTTGTACAATACGAGGAAAAAACCTATTGCATTAGTCAAACAATATTTATATATGTATATACATATATATAGCTAACAAATGACAATTATTATACTGTTGAGCATTTCTCCATTATTTGGACGGTAAAGAAAATTAGGAAAAACAAACAAAGGATATAATACGTCCATGTATTTATATATATATATAAATATATAATGAATTACATACATTATGTAATTAAATCCCAATCAAAAGTTTCGTCTTCAATTACAACTGGAAGAGTAGTTAACTGAAAAATATGTCAAAAATAAGAAATTATTTTAAAAAAAAACCTATAAAGAATATAAATTACATGGTTAGTTGTTTCTAATATTGCTCCATTCGATACAATTGGTAATCGATTTGCGATGATGGATTCATCTATATATGAAAAAAATCAAATAAATATTTTAATATTTATGTAATGCAGTGTTAATGATTGAACTTGACTTTTTTTTATCTTATCATCAATTAATCTCGTATGATACAAAGATATCTGTATTTTAATTTTCGATATGTACAAAAATCTGATTTCATGTTTAAATAATTTTTTCTAAAAGTTAATATTTCTTACGAAAATAAGAGAATGATATTTATTAAAAAGAAATCTATTCATAGTAAAAGAATATTCTCATTTTTTACATATACATTTTTTATTAAATCAACAATTAGTAAACCATTGATTAAAGTGAACTATATGAA